AAAAAAGATAATGGATCAATAACAGATTTTCTAGGCTGTATATGGGTAGTATTATAAGAACAGAATACCAGATTTACAGAAAATTTTAGAAGTTCAATCATTAAGACATACTCAGTTGTTGAAATTTTGAGTAATTGAAAAATACTTTTTAATACTGCTAAAAATTATTAACCAAAAATAAAGCAAAATAGGTACCACACACAGGCCCATTTAGTGTTTTTGTTTATGTTTTGTGGGACCAAGGATCAAGCTCAGGCAAGCACATATTCCACTGAGCTATCTCCCCAGCCCCACAACGTTTAGCTCTTATACTCCATTTATTTTTTATCTTTGGATACTGGGAATCAAACTGAGGACTCTGTACTTGCCAGGCAGGCATTGTACCACTGAGCTATATATCCCCATCTCCTTTACTCCATTTATCTAGTTAAAGATAACCCACATTTATAGAAGTTACATATATAATTTACATATATATTATATACTTATATATAAATTATGTAAATATATATATACACATATACTTACATATATATAAGATATAGGAAGAAGTTGAATTTTATTGATGAAAGAATTAAGATTCATGTGTGTTATTCTATTTCTTAATGACAAAATGGGGTGAACAGTAGCAATCTAAATAGGAAATAGTGTTAAAAAGGAAAAGGAAACGGGTAAAGAATGAAAAGTTAGGGTATGGTTATCAGGATGCTTTTATGAAGATACAAATTAAGCAGAAATCCTCAATGAAGATTGAAGGCAAGCTGTGCAGAAGTACTAGGGTAGAGCTTTTCAGGCACAGGCAGTGACAAGCTATGTCAAGTTAGAAGGGTGAAATATTTAAAATGGATGGAGGAAAAGAGCAATGTACCCTAAGATTGAAAGAGTCAAGGATGAGATGAGCAGTGTTTTAGACCGTGGTAAATTGTAATTTTTAAAAAATAAATTTAGAGCAATCACATATTTGTCTGTCTTACCCAGAGGCTTGAGACATCGGGGGAAAAATGTTGTTTAAATACATCCAAGTTGTGTAATGACTCTGCTGTTATTTACTTCTTCATTTGATGTCCA